GGCACAGTGGATGAAGTCGTTGGTTAGATCCAATGACAGGGCTAAAAGAGTGAGTTCAATACCCGGTTAAGGCAGTGAAGAACATTCAGAGGGAAATTAGCAAGAGGTAACTGTGATACATCAAACATGGAACTAGAACAGTCCACCCCAGTGAGTTAAATAAAGGGTTCAGTTCGATATTCCAACCGCCTGAAGAAGGACAAAAACGTTGTGATAAATATGGCGACGAAGATGAGGACAATAGTCCGAATAATGTAAATAATAATCTTTTCTTATTTCCTGGACGTAAATGATGTAGAAATTGTCTAAATGTTTTATATATTCGAGCGATTTCGGATATATCTGTAGCCATTATGAAGGATGATTACCTTATTTTAGGTTAATGTATAGATTGAGTTATGTATGTATCTATAGGAATTTTTTATAAATGAAATACAGTTAACACATTGTGGCCGTGTTCATAGTTGATATAATGGAATGCTTTTTTTATTATTAATAATACTTTCATTATTTTTAGCCTTTCTTTACATGTGGATGAGATAAATACATGAAACAATTTTTACATTTAGTTAAAAGCAAAAAATAAATTCATCCTCGATAATGGCTAAAAGTAGAGCTGACAGATCTCGCACACAAGAAAAAGTAAATAAATAATTAATTTAAGTAATTTGTCAGTCGGTTTTAATGAAACTTTTGCAGGGTACAACTTATTGTATATATATATAAATATATAATCTCAGTATTTTGACAGTCGTTTTTAATGAATATATATATATATATATATATATATATATATATATATATATATATATATATATATATATATATACAAGTATATGATTGGTGTATATGGAATAAATTCCAATAAACAACAATTACTATTCTTAAAAAGAGTGCTCAATGCAGAGTAGAATAGATATAATTTATTTAAACATTATAACATAAATATGTTATAAAATCACTATAAAAATAGCCATAGACACCAGAGGTGTTGAAACAAAATATCTATTTTTTAAAATTTTTTTAACGTATTTATGTTATAATTTATATATATATATATATATATTATATTGAAAACGACTGACAAGGTAGTGGGATTATTATATATATATATATATATATATATATATATATATATATATATATATATATATATATTTGTATATTTGGGCAGCAATCCTTCCTTTATGCATGTTTCATTAAAAACGACAGACAAGGTACTACGGTTGAGCTTTTTATTTAATTTTTCTTGTGTTCTGACAAGAGCTTTCTTTTCTGGACAAAGAGTGTGTAAGAACTGTCCGAATGCTCTGTGTTTCCGAGCGCTTTCGGCTATACCTTTAGCCATTATCAAGGATGATTCAATTATCAGCTTAGAAGAGTGTGTGTGTTCTGTGTATGTTCAGTGTGTGGTAGTGATGTTTTTAGTTTCCGAATACAGTTAGCACATTGTGGCTTTGTTCAGAGTTAATATTGTTAAGAGTTGGCTTTTTATTTTTAGTCTTTTTTTGCAAGTGGATGCAGTTAATATATTTGTGTTTTCTACTAGTATGTTCCTAATAGTGTCGGGTAAATCTGAGTGTGTGTTTTAAATGTGTTCTGATGGAACTGTGATCGGATAGGTGTAATGTAAGACGTCTGGATAAACATGTGGTTGTGTAGCCGATGTAATTATTTATGAGTCCGGTTTGGTGAGGAACGCAGTTCCTTAAAGGGCATTTGAACTCATAGATAATGTTTGTTCTTTGTAATTTTGACTTAGTTGGTGTGTTGTTATTTTTGAGGATAAGGTTCTTACACACTCTTTGTCCAGAAAAAAATATATATATATATATATATATATATATATATATATAACTGAGCTACTTGAACCTCATACGTCGAATACGAGGGGAGAGTCGATTATATATATATATATATATATATATTTATATATATATATATATATATATATATATATCGACTCTCCCGACTGACTATATATATGTGTGTGTGTGTGTGTGTGTAATGAATAAGAAATTAAAACTAATAAATAGATGCAGTGATATTTTTTTCTTATTTGTATATCGTCTGTTTCAGCCATTCCTACGTACGTGTCTGCTTGAATAAATGAACTGCGGTTGATAGCAATGGTAGATCTGGTTAATATGGAAAAGTTTGCACTCAATGGACGCTGCGCATCGCTGAATATATTTCTGTACTCATCATACTTTCCGGCAGACCATTTGTAACTTGAAAAAAAAAAAAAACACTAGAAAATAATAAATAAGATACTAATTCACTGTTGGCAAGATGATCATTCAACTGATGGTTGGAATTTGTTAGTCTTGTGCTCTCTTCCGTTTTGATATCAATACTCCTTGGCATGAATGATTAAACAGGGAAATAGTGTCCAGACATGCCCAGAAATTCTTCGAATAAAATAGACATGTTTTTTTCCACTATGGTGGACAGACATGACCTTCCAAGAACACCAGCTGTTAATACTATCTTCCTTTTT